AGACGTACGTTTCTTCGTTTGCCGAGGAAACGAACAATTCGAAAAATTGGCTGTGGGCGACACTAAAGGTTGTTTTTACTCAGCTATGTGAAAAACGAGCAACTTCAATATCGAAGTGTAAATTAGAGGATGTTCTACAATAAAATAGAAATTAATTAGAATGAAAAACTGGAGAATTCTCTCAAACTTTAGGAATGAAATGTCGCCTCTTCCACAAATGAAATCTTATTTGTTCGGAACTTTTTTTTTTCAGTGTAAATTGTGCTAATATTTGTCTTAATATAAGTCAAAGGTTTATATAATTAATAATAAATAATACACATTTCACTAAAATTTAGTACAATCGTTAATAATATTTCTGTAGCCCTCTTGATCTGGTAAAAGAAGAAAATGAATGAAAAATGGCCTTTTTTAGTGACTTTTATAACAACTTAACTGTCATTTTTGTCAAATAAGTCATTGGATTTATTTTGGGGTTACTGCTGAATTTATTAATGTTACTTTTATCCAACTGCTTTAAGTATGATCTACAATTTTAGGACGTCCGTGAAGATAGCACTACAACTTTCAAATTTTTCAATTTTGAAGAATTTGTCGCTTTTTCTCGTAAATTTGTCGTGGAAAATAAAAATTGTCGCTAATCCCTTTTTCAAAATAATCCCTGTTAGTGCAAACTTCACGGTAAAGTTAACACTACCAATCAACAAATAGAACTCAAATTATATTTTTTTATGTAGACAATTTGTCGTTTTTTTTCCGTTAAATTTTTCATTGAAAAAAAATTTGTCACTACTCTCCTTCTTGAAATAAACTCCAGTTAATGCCAATTTTAATAGAAAGTTAGCACTACCAGTCATGAAAATGAGCATAAGTGCCTTTTTTTATATGGATAGTTTGTTGTAAATTTTTGGTGAAACAAAAAAAAATTGTCGCTCATCCCCTATTTGAAATAAACCTCGGGTATTGCTAATTTTAATGGTGCTAATTTTAATGGTGCTCTAAAGTAGCACTACCAATCACGAAAATATGCATAATTACGTTTTTTATTTGGATAATTTGTCGCTTTTTGTCGTGAATCAAAAAAAAAATGTCGCTCATCCCCTTTAAAAAAAAACCCAGTTATTACTAATTTTGATGGAGATTTATCACTACCAATCACGTAAATAAGCATAAATTACATTTTTTTATAGGATAATTTGTCGCTTTTGGTCATAAATTTGTCCTGGAACAAAATCATTTATCGCTCATCCCTTTTTTGAAATAAACCCAATTTAATGCTAATTTTGATGGAAAGTTAGCATATCAATCACGAAAATGAGCTTAAATGACATTTTTATTTATATGGATGATTTGTCGCTTTTTGTCGTAAATCTGTCCTGGAACAAAAAAAATTGTAGCTCAACCCCTTTTTGAAATAAACCTCAGGTAATGCTAATTTTGATAGAAAAGTTAGCACTACCAATCACGAAGATTAAATATCGAGGAGCTCTAATTTCGAACTGTTCTTTTTTAGGTATAATTTACTTTTTAAAGTAATAATAAGTTTTTTCCGTTGTAAAATGCTTACAAAATTTGAATACTCACAGTTTTAATTGAATAACTTATAAAAAAAATAATAATTACTGTTTAAGCTCACTCACATAACAGCAGCTATCAAAAATATAGTATCTAGGCACTCTTACAGTTCACGGCCAGTTTTTTAATAAAATAATTTCATACTTAATTTTTTTAATTTCTTAAGCACATTCGAATAAAAAATAATGTATAAACCACGGACGAACATTTATTTCAGGACTCCTCTCCTAGTAGTCGTCCTAAAAACTCAACTTTTCGTCCTTGGTACATAAACAACTAAACTAAACTACTTTTATTCAAAACAAATTTCTTACATCCATTAGCTTGTTGAACGACATGAATCAAAAACATTTATTAGGACAAAAGGGCCAAGTTCTTCACGACCAGACCAAAGAAGTAATTTCACGCCTGATTAACTTCATGAAAGACGAGGCTGAAAATGGTGTTAAAATACCATTGAACAAATGCAGAGAGAGACTTCTAGCTGCTACAGGAATATCTTTGAACAGTTTTTGTTCAACGTAGCATTCCGTATGATGCTAAAATAACAAAACCGGAACTTTACGGACTCATCAAAGTTTACAGACCACCACCAACATTTCTTTTAGATAGCCTTCTACACGAAAGTGGACACAACGTTATGCGTTTGCCTCCATACCATCCCGAATTAAATTCCATAGAGAAAAAATGGGCCCAAGTAAAAAACTGGGTGGGCAACACAACATTTAAATTGAATGAACATTAACAAGAGAGAAATTTGAGAATATAACCCCCGAGGAATGGGCAAACGTGGTTGATCATTGCTCGATATATGAGGATGCGTATATTCATAAAAAACAATTAATGGATGGATATACAGATTCCTTGATATTTAATATAAATACGGAATCATCTGACGAGTGGGATCCAGAATTGTCGGATATTGAAAATTATAAATGAAATAGATAATCACAAATATATTTATTATTAAGTAAAATTTTCAGTTGTTTTATTAATTTACAATTTGACAAACACGAGGCTAATGGCCGTAGTAGTCGATGCCGATGACACAAAAAAAAACAAAAAAAAATAGTCGAAGTAGGGGTGGGTGGCTCAGTGGTAGAGTCTCTGCCTGTGGATCCAAGGGTCCCAGGTTTGAATCCCACCGTTGGCCGGAATTTTTTCATTTAATTTAATTATTTAAAATTAATTCTGATGCCTTGGTAGGATTCCCCACTCAACCATTCACTGTTGGGTTCTAATTAACAGTGCTGTTCCTAAAGTGGCGTTGGAAAACAGTAACAAAGCCCACACAGAATACGAGGTGAAATAACCTTAGCAGTTGAAGCCGATGACAAAATTCCGACTAATTCTTTTCATTTACGAGTATTTCAGATTTAAAATATTTTATAAATGTACACACGCCACTGCTAAAAAAAGCGCTGGGTGTAAGGTAGGTAGCCATATAGTAAGGATTTTAGATCAACGTCGTCAAATAAGCTCCTCCTGGCTGCGCAAAATTAGACATTTTGTTAGGCAATATACTCTTCGGATAGTAATCAAGCTCTAGCTAGATGGGTTACTCCGGTATGCTATGCTATTGTTACTGTTTGTACCTTCTACTTCGGCGAACGGCGAACGGAGCAGCGATATGACCTGCTTCACTATGTTTTTACTCTGCTAGCCACACTGTGATGGTTAAACAAAACAAGTAAAACGCATCAGCTGACATACGCCAGCTAAATGCATTTAGTCATGTTGTTAATAATTAAGGGTGGGCCAAAATAATCGATTAACCGCTCAATAATCGATTATTCTATATTCTTTATTAATTAGTTGATTATTTTCGATTTTTCAAAGATAATTAATTATTCGATTTTGATTAATATTATACTGTTATTTATTTTTTTTTTTTTTTGATTAAATATTATTAAATATAATAATTTTTGTTTTTAGGTTGCAGATCTAAGACTCCAAAATAACCAAAGAGTTTCGTTAGAATACAAACCCGAAGGGTAAGTGGCAATTTTTTACTTTAAAATACAAAAAATATATACATTGGCTTTCAATTCATTAAAAAAATGTATTGTGGGACTTGTGGGCAACAAACTGTGAGAATTTGGTTTTATTTAATACAATATTTGTTGCCTTTTTGTGGTCTCACAAAATGCATACTGGTTAACTATTATTAAAAGGCTTTTTAAGGACTTTATTAAAAAGTAAAATACAAAAAACTAATTTTTAATTAAAAATTATGTTCTCGATTAAAGATTTGCATAAAAAACTTTTTGGATTGAATTAAATTAATAGGGAGCACAAAATCTAAAGTGGCTTTTAGCTAACACTGGTATAAGGTATAAGCAAAACTAATAAATATGCTAGATAATATTAATTAATTATTTAATTAATTAAGTAATGAATTACTTTGTTAATATTTAATATGATTAGATATTTACTTATAATCGGTAAATTAATAACAATCGAAGATTAATAAAAATCAATTAAATAATATCGATATATCGATCAATCTAATAATCACTTTTCGGATTAATCAAAAATAATCAATTTAACGATTAAACGAAAATAATCAATTTTCTGAATAAATGAGTATTTAAAAATAACTGGTTACTGGCAAATAATTGATCTCTCCATTAATTGAAAGCAATCTATTAAAATAAAATAATCAATTAATTGAAAATAATCAATTAATTGAAAATAATCAATTAATTGAAAATAATCAATTAATTGAAAATAATCAATTAATTAAAAATAATCAATTAATTGAAAATAATCGAGTAGTTGAAAGTAATCGATTAGGTAATTAAAAGTAATCGATTAATTGAAAGTAATTAATTAAAAATGTAAGGGATTAAAAGTGTAAGGGTTAAAGAAAAGGTCCTTTATTTCTCACAAGTCAATTTAATTGGCGACCGGTTTCGAAGTTGTCACTTCATCATCAGTGACAACTTCGAAACCGGTCGCCAATTAAATTGACTTGTGAGAAATAAAGGACCTTTTCTTTAACCCTTACACTTAATCCCTACTACTCACATATGGCTACCCTCACTCCAAATTAATTAAAAGTATTAGCTCAACTGCATAATCGATTAATTGAATAATAATTGAAAAAATCGACTATTTTCAAGTAATCGATTAATCGAAACTAATTATAAACGATTATTTTAAATAATTTTTAATCTTTTATAAATACAGGTTATTAAAGCAATAAATTATCCATATCAAAAAATGTAATTTATGCTCATTTTCGTGATAGGTAGTGCTCAGGGGCGGCTCGTGACTAAAATTTTAGGGGTTCACAGTAGCAGAATATAGATCCCAGTACAGATATAGGTAAAAAACTGTCAGTGTTTTAGAATGGTATATTATAAACATTCTAAAATACTGAAAGTTTTTTTATACATCTGTACTGATACCTATATTCTGTCCAAATAAAAACATGTCATTTATGCTCATTTTCGGGATTGCGATAGTGCTAACTTTACCGTGAAGTTAGCACTACCAGGGGTTATTTTGAAAAGGGGATGAGCGACAAATTTCCTTTTTAGACGACAAAATTACGATAAAAACCCACAAATTCTCCAATATTTAAAAATACAAAATTCCAAAGTGGTAGTGCTAAGTTCACGGATGTAGAAGATTCAAACACTGTTTCAGCTTACTTTCTTTACTTGGTCATAACGGGAGAGAATGAAAGAAATTTTAAATATTTTAGAAGCGACATAATTCAAGAAAATTGGTTTAATATTTTAACCGCCTTTAAAATACGTCCCTGCCTTTTATGCATATGACAACTATTTAAACCCATCATTTATTTATTTATTTTTTTTTAACTTTTATTTCAGCTTTTTATAATTTGTTTCCTAAATACCGAATTATTGCAAAACGAAAATTTAATGAAAAGCAAACGTAACGTCATTTTATTAATCAGAAAGATATTGCAAGTTCACTTAAGGTCAGCCACTATTAGCGCAGCTTTTATTTTTAGAGCTGAGCATGCGCAGATCGTTTAAGCTCTAGAACTAACTTTATTAAAGAAAATAGTAAAGACTTTAGTACTTTCGGGTGCGCTTGCCGACATTAATATCAGTCCGAAGTTTTTTAATATTAAATTATACTATCATCATCATCTAAGTCTTCTAAAATTGCAATTTCTAATGCCTCTTCCATATTATGTTCTATTATATACAACAACAAAGATAAACTATAAGTTTTTAAAATGAGGTTAAAAATATGCATAAGGACTCTTATATCAAAATTTCAGACTTTCAATGAGTCTTATTTTAGCATCGAAAATTTATCTGCCTCCAATTATGTTGTCACTATTAGTAGCTGACGTTATAGAAATTTGCAACATCTCTCTTTTGTTTATAGATACTGAATATTAGTTTATCCTAATTTTTCTGTGATATCTAACCTAAAAAATATCCTATTCACAAACTTTCCAACCCATAGGCGAGTATCACGTTAACCTTGGAGGCGAAAACGGCCTGTGCAGTAGCGGACCGTTATTGTTGGGGCTCGGCGGGGCGATCCGCACTATTCCCCCATGCGAGTAAGCTCCGTGGAGATTAGTATGCGGCGAAGGAGCCCCCAGCCTTCCCGGAGACGTCACTTGGATCCTCAAGGGTGCTGTAATCTGCGTGGGGTTTAATTGATGACCCAACCTTAAAGGCAATGGGGTTTCTATCTTTGAGCTCTCGTGCTGCATCCTCATGTTGTCGGCTATTCGTAAGTTCATAGGTGGAGAGTGTTGAAGGGAGGTTTGTGGTGGTGAGTCTATCTGTAACAATGAAATTTTCGGATTACCAAAAATTTTATATAATAAAATTAACGATCAAATATTGTGTGATTGAAAATGTACCGAAATAAGCGTAAGTATAGATAATGTGGTTAAACATTTTTGCTTCAAAATACTTTGAACAACTTTGGCAAATTCATGGTCATTTTTATCTCTCGCTCTCATGTGAATAAGTAAAGAAACTTTGAAGCTATTTTTTAAGTAACAAGCCGAGTCTAAAATGTTTTTGAAGAGGCAAGATGGACCATTCATCAGTCTATTCCTAAATATATTTATTAGAACTACATTTAAACGTAATACTACTAACCTACATATAAGACATAGCAATAAAAAAAGAATAACTTACAAATGGAAAAAAAATAACCTCCAATTCGTAAACTGCATGGTACACGAGATAAAAATACGCAAAAGTTATTTCAATTTAAAATTAAACCTTAAATGTTATTTTGGTAACTAAACTGAACAAACAAAAGTCCACCTCATTTTACAACAACAAAAAAAACATACAAAATCGAAACGAAAAACATAAAACACCCCCACATGGGATTCGTAAGGTAAAAAATACAAAAATAATCAAAAACTCTAACCTAATATCCCACTGTCTTCTTTATATTACAGATTCAAACCATAAAAATTCTAACTTTTAAAATTAAAAATTGTATCAATAAAATAAATTTACAACTAACAAATAAAAAAGAAAACATATTAATAATAAAAAAAGTACAAATATTAAACCAAAAATAATAAAAAACGAAATAAACAGAAAATAAAACCTACTAAAGATCCGTATTCACGTGGGCCGAAAGCTTTTATAATATAAAAAAAAAAACAAAAACAGTTTTTTTGATGTTTAATTTTGACAGCCCTATTCTCAAGAAAACACGGAAGAAATCTAGAAAGAAAAGGTTTAAGAAAAGAAATTTATCAATAAGAATTTCACCTTAAAAAAAAACTTCTAAATAATATCATTTCAATTGACAAGAATCATTACACAGTAGCAATGACTACATTTTTCAAATAGAAAAAACAACACGTACCTTTCTACTGTCCTTATCCGTACTATCCACATCTATGGGACTGTCGTTCGCAGTTAACCTCAAATTCACAGCAGTATACGTCGAACTGCCATCTACATTAATTGGTGATGCTGAATTTCGGTCTTTGGGTCTTTCAATTCGAAAATTTGGGGAAAAATTTGGCGGCGTATGATTCCCTCCAAATCTAAATTGGGCAGGCATGGGACCAGGTGAGTGGGCGCCGAATCTAAACGATGTTATAGGATTAGGGGAGGATCTACCGAATTGGAGAGGACCTGGTGAACTTATTGGCGGCGAGTGGGCACCGAGGGATATGTCTGAATCGCTGTCTGATGGTGTTGGACTTAAGGGGGGTTGTCGACCGGTGCCTCCGTGTTGAGCTAGTTGAGCTGCTAGTTGTTGTTGCTGCATTCTGAAACAAACCAAAAACTTTATTACTTATGAGAAATACATTAAAAATTTGATTATTGAACGAATACCGATATAAATTTTAGTCCGAAAACAAGTGGAGAGGAGTTCAAGGAACAATATATTCATAATTCATTTTTTTAAATCGTTTCATTCATCATAGTAACAGTTACTGTTCTACATTTTAGGGGTTCACAATGACAAAATATAGATTTAAGTACAGATTTAGGTAAAAAACTTTCATGGTTTTAGAAAGGTATATTATGAACACTGAAAGTTTTTTTTTATATATTTTAATCACCAAATATAGGAATATGGCCTTACTTTTTCAATTTTGTAACATTATTTAAATAAATATTGATTTCCGATGTTATAAAAGCTAAAAAACGGGGTGGTTCAATAAAGGAAACAGGTGGTTCAAATTAGGAACAACGATTCCTGATTTTTTTTTAGTTATTTATCCTTGACTTACCAAGATGACTTTAAGTGATCTTTTTGCATTCTATATATATGTTACGGTTAAAGTGTTTACTTGGCTAGTTTATAGACTAGCTGGATAGTATACAAACTATCCAAATGTCCTGCTATTTTGATGGAAAATCATATTTCTACTAAAATAGCTATGGATATTGGTTGGTTTGTATACTAACCAGTTAGTTTACATACTATACAATATTTATCGTCAAAGTACAAACCACAAGAAAAGTACACAAATTAACCAATATTTTTGGCTAGTTTACAAACTATCCACAGTATTTGGATAAAGTTTGAACTTAATATTTGTAGTAATGCATAATAACCAACTCGTCGGTTAGTATGTAAACTAACCAATCCTCTTTGGTTAATTTAGTTTAGGATAATAAAACAACATTGCTATTACTACTTAAAAATAAGTAAAAAAACAAAAATGACATAAAAATACTTATTGTCTGACAAAATATTAATAAAAAACTTTAAAACATTGCAATCACAAAACAAAGAAAATTATTATTTATTAGAGCAGTGTGCACTGTTGTGGCACTTGCTGTTACACGTATATCCAGACACTCTTTATTGGAGCACATAACCTTGGGTTGAACCAGAGACTAAAAATGTTCCTGCAGCACTTCATAATGTTATTTCCGTGTCTGTCTTAACTTTTCTAACTTTATAAACTGTTGCTTGCTTATTTCAAATTCGTTGCGGCAATACAGTTGTTTAAGGACACCGTAAACAGGTCCAATTCAGCAAAATTCATCTTCTACGCGCATTATTACACCCAATATATTTTTACGATCTGATCGACTTCGGTCTACGTCTGGAATGGGCACTCTCATGGACATGCTGATAGTTCCTGGTTTAAACTTCTTCCCAGAAGTTTGTAGCATTTTATTTGCTTGCCTTTTTAGACTTTTGTTGCATGCATCTTTTTTCGCTTTAATATTGTTTTTATTCTGACAATGATCACATACATTTTCTTCAGTACATAATGTGCATTTCTGCGTTGATAATCGTTCATTGAGAGCATTTTTTGTAGTTTCAGTACCTGGGATCATTGCCATTGCTTGTTCTTTAAGTAAAACTTAGGTTTCATTGTTATCTTCGAGTACAACTGGGATTTCAGTATAATTATCGAGTATAACCAGCTTAGCATTATCAAATAAACCTGAAAAATATTAGGTTGTACTGTGAAATATCCTGGTTCGCCCTCTCCACTGAACCTTGTGATTGTAAATGTATCGGTATATCATGCACAATGTGATATTCCAACTAATTCCTCAAAAACGTAAGAAAATTCAAATATATTGCTATTGCTGCGCAAAAGAACAAATTTTTACAATTAAAATATTAGTAAATTAATATGGTTATTTTTCACTTTATCGACTATTAATTGAATAATTTTTTCCAATAAAAATAAATATATTGGCACCTAATTTAACTTAAAAAATAAAAAAGAAATGGATTGGCTGTGAATCGAACGTGGGCAAGTGAGCATTTATCCACTTAACCACCTATTAGATTTTGCCTTAGGTATTTCATTCATATATTTAAATCAGGGTTTGGAGGATATATTTCAAGTGATATATATCACAATGTATATCATGATATTTATACCTTGATATATATCCGATATATTCGATAATTTTATTTATTAAATTAAAAATGTTTTCCACTATTCTGAACATCCGAAAATATCTCAATACGCCCCTGTATAAAAGTATAATAACTAGCGATTTATATGTGTTTGTGTTAAAATATTAATGTTAATAAAATAATGTTAAAATCTGTTTATTTTATTAATTATTTTTGTTTTTCTTTTTAACTTGAGTTAGACAAAAACGGTTTTGTTGTTTAGAATATAGGTTTTTGTTAATATGTTTGTGTTAAAATTTAAAATATAGTTTGTGCAAGAAACAATACTATTTTTTAATCAAATAATTAAATTTTAAAAATGATATATATATCATGTGATATGATATTTATATAAATATCATATTTTCGAACCCTGATTTATATACAGATTATTGATTATTTAAATAATTTCAATCTAGGAATTTGGATTAAATTTTATTTGTTATTTGGCCATTCTATACCTAAATATTGGAAAAATACCTACTTCATTTGAAAATTTTCGGCCGTTGTCACTTTGCAACACGCAAGGGCTCCCTAGGTCTGCAAATACTTCTAATAGGTGCTCAACTACTTCTCTAGCTCTCTTTGTTTTCAGCGCTCTCAACCTGACGTATTTGGTTAGGTGGTCTTGATAGACAAAAATAAACTTGAAGTGACCATCCGGTCTAGTTTGTAAGTCAATGAGACAGATTTGACACTGAGCATTTAAATGATTTGAAACAATTTGTTTCACAACAATACCTTTTTTAGTTTTGTTGCGTTTGAGCTGACATGTTTCGCAAGTTTCAATAAAAAATTTTACCGTTTCCTGTGTTGTTATAATATTTTTCATTTAATAATTTTGTTATTGCCTGACAACCTCCATGCTCAGTTTCCTGATTGGCAGCTTTAATGGCATCATAACATTCACTCAAACGTAAAATAATCTTTCCAGATTTTTTACGTAAAATTACATAAGATAAATCGATTCTCTATAAATCATAAGTATTTACCACGTAATAATCATTTTTGTTACTCATGTTAGGTCCAGTTTCGCGTATTCTTTTTATACATTGCAAAAGTTCACTTTAATCACTGTCATTCATTAATTTTTTTGAATTTTGCGACTTTTGTTCGTAAACTTCCAAAAGTAGGTTTTCAAATTGTTGCTGTTAATTCATTTTTAATAACCTCTTTTTAAACAAATTTCACAAGACACCACAGTAGTACACAATAATAACACACACTTGCCATAACTATAACTTCACTTTTCTAATAAATTAACCGAAGAGGATTGGTTAATTTACATACTAACCGACGAGCTGGTTATTATGTATTACTATAAATATTAAGTTCAAACTTTATCCAAATACTGTGGATAGTTTGTAAACTAGCCAAAAAATATTGGTTAATTTGTGTACTTTTCTTGTGGTTTGTATTTTTGGCGATAAATATTGTATAGTTTATAAACTAACTGGTTAGTATACAAACCAACCAATATCCATAGCTATTTTAGTAGAAATATGATTTTCCATCAAAATAGCATGACATTTGGATAGTTTGTATACTATCCAGCTAGTCTATAAACTAGCCAAGTAAACACTTTAACCGTAACATATACAATATAAGCCAAGACATCACTTTAAATAGGTTTTAATTTTTTGTTGCCATTGAAAAATTGTTTTTCAGGGGTATTTTCTTAGGGGTCCAAATTATGGGCTTTTCCGCTAATTATATAATTTTTTTGAAATTTTTACGCTAAATGTTTTTTTTTGTTCTTTTTAAAATAAATACTTACTATTCGATGGTTCACGAAAAATTAAGGTTTCTCCACCCTAAGTTTTGTTATTATTGATATTTCCTAAAAATTTCACAAAAATCGGACAATAAATAAAGGCTCAGAAGAAATTATAAATTTTAGAGGTGTCGTAGTCGACAAGATAGAAGAGTGTTGTCAGAGCATTATTATGAATGGATCTTCGTAGTTATTCGTAGTTATCAGGGTGTCTCGTAAATAATATACCAACAAACTTTTAGGGGTAGTAAATGGCATCAAAATAAAAATGTTTTGCCCAATTATCATGTCCGAAAACTCTTAATTTTCGATAATAGTCCAGTAGCACGCATGTGGAAATTTTTGCTACATGCCAATAGGTCCAAAATATTTCTCATGAAATTTTAACAAACTTTAAAAATTTTATTGAAATCGGCCAAAAAGTTTTTAAAAATCGATTTTTTTTAACTTTAACACCCCGTTCTCGCTGTCCCCTATCTCATTTGTCGATATATTTTGATCGTTGCATAAGTATGAGTTAACAGTTCCGTTAAACTCTGTACTTTTTTTACAACAATGTTCGAAAATATTTCCATATTTTTTTATTGTGATTTTCACTATACCTTTCAAAATTTTTGACTACACCGTCTTTTCAACGATTTTACTCATCTTTATGCATTCCACGTCCATGAACAAAAAATTCTGACATTTACATTTCCATCAGGGGATTATATTCACTCGGAGGTTGATGTCTTAACCTTTACAATGGTATTTAGGGGTAATTTGTTGGCCGGTTAGGGAGCACAAACAGACCACCCCTCACAGCGGGATATCTCTTAAACACCCTGATAATAAGCTGACTACTTAGGCCAAAGGGAATTCTCACATTTTCAATGCCTCGTATACGGACTTTTAAAGTTACAAGTCTTCCTTATGGTTGGGCTTAATGCTGGACAGAGGCGGCCTCAATGAGGACCTGATATTGTTTAGAATTAGGTCAAAATACTAATACCTATAACAATATACACAATATTAAACATACGCAAAACATTAAGCATATGCAAAACATTAAGCATATGCAAAAAATTAAACATATGCAAAACATTAAATATATGCAAAAAATAAACATGTATAAAATTAAACATATACAAAACATTAACAATAACTAAAATAATAGGAATATATTTCTAAATAAATGGATAAATAAAATTTGCGGATGTAAATAATTTTTTTTACACCCACA